TCTGAAATTCAGGCAGGGAGTCAGGGAAAGGCACAGAGTGACCCCACACAACTTCACTGAGGGGCTGTGTCCTAAAAGTGGAGCCAACAGGCTCAATCTTGGTTAAATTACGGCACCAGCTGTTAAAAAAAAAAAAAAACAAACCTCCATAAAAGAGCTCAAACCTTATTTGGGCAAATTAAAACTGATCCCCAGCTGGATCCCTCAGGAGCTTCACAGCCCAAACCAAGCCTTGCTGGAAACTGCCCAGTGCTCAGGGTCTGGTTTTGTTCCTCTGGGGGCCAAGAGGTCCTAAACTGGGGTGAGGGGGGAGACCCAGGGAATTGGGGGGACACAAAAGGACCCCTGGCACGAGCAATCCATGAGGAAAAGGCAGTCCCAGGGTGGGTGTGGGATGGAATTGGGAGCTGCAGTTGCCCCACAGGGAATGGAACACAGCCCACAGCAATCCCTCCTGAGAGTTCAGGGCTTCAGCAGTGGGGTGCAAGTGGAAAAGGAGCCTCTGAAGGGGCTGATGGGTGGATGGGAAGCTCACCCAGCTTTGGATGAAGGAATTGGCATGGAAATAGTCTGCTGTGCCCCTGAATATTGGCACGGGATGATCGGGCACAGAAGAGACTGGAATGGCACAACAACATTCCCTCCTTCTTGCTTTGCCACATCCAACCTAATCCAACATCAGACAACTCATCAGATTGTTAAAATTAAAAAATTCAAAATAATTCAGATGCATTTTTAGATCCTGAAATCACAGAAACCATGGAATGGGTTTGGGTTGGAAGGGACCTTAAAGATCATCCAGTTCCAAACCCCTGCCATGGGCAGGGACACCTCCCACTATCCCAGGTGGCTCCAACCTGGCCTTGGACACTTCCAGGGATCCAGGGGCAGCCACAGCTTCTCTGGGCAACCTGTGTCAGACCCTCACCACCCTCCCAGCCAAGAATTCCTTCCTAATCTCTAATTTAAACCTACTCTACTCCAGTTTGAAGCCATTCCCTGTGTCCTGTCCCTCCAGCCCTTGTCCCACATCCCTCTCCAGCTCTCCTGGAGCCCCTTCAGGCACTGGAAGGGAGACCTTGGAGCCTCCTCCTCTCCAGGTGAACATCCCCCAGCTCAGTTCCCGAGATCTCCACCAAAGGCTGGACATTGCAGGGACTGCAGGGACGCTCATCCCTGAGGATGAGACCTTCCTGCCACCCGCCTTTCCCAGCACAGCCAAGCTCTCCTTGGGGCTCGTTCCCCTCATTAACAGTCAGATCGTGGCCCTGGCAGGGGCTCAGCCCCGGGAAGCTGAGCGTGAGTCACTCGCCGTGCCCAGCACCTCCAGTGACTCACGGGTCAGGTGAGAGGAGCCAACTGCCGGGGAGAGCAGCAGCAATTCCCATTCACAGGAGCTTTTTTTTCTTTTTTTTTTTTTACACCTTCCTGCCTGATTGGCCTCAGCCAAGGCAGCTGTAATCAAGCCAGCACTTCTGCCCTGATGGCAGCAGCTCCCGGAGAAAAAGATGGATTTTCTCCGGCGTGCAGCGGGAAAGAAAAAAAAGGTGTCTCACGGTGATTCTTCAGCGGTAATTGCAAACCCCCTGCCCAGGA